AAGAAATCACTTGGCTTTGAAACAAAAACAATGTCGATGTCCTCTTTAATACCCTCTACATTTGCATACGTTTTCCCTTTAAGATGGTGTTACAACGAACGAAAAAGATGGTAATCTGATAGTGCCATATCTGGAGAATATGGTAGGTGGGGGAGAACTTCCCAACACAACTCCATAATCTTGTGTTGCGTTAAACGTGCCACATGTGAACGTGCATTGTCGTGGAAAACAAGAACACCTTTCCGATTGACGAGTGAAGGGTGTTTCTGATGAAGGGCTTGATTTAAACGATCCAGTTGCTGACTATAGATCTCTACATTGACAGTTCGCTGTGGATTGAGGAGTTCGAAATGAATTACTCCTTTGATGTCCCACCAAATGCAAAGCATCACTTTCTGTGGATGGAGTCCAGGTTTTGGGGTCGGAAGTGGTTTTTGTCTAGGACTGAACCATTTTTTTTGGCGTTTAATATTTACATAGAGAATCCATTTTTCATCACCAGTGATAATTCTGTCCAAAATGGTTCACGCGAATTACGCGCCAGAAGAGACGAAACAACGTCCACACGTTGGAAACGATTATCATCGGAGAATTCGTGAGGCACCCAAACACCTTCTTTATGGAGTTTTCTCATATTCATTAGATGTTTACTTATTGTTTCATGAGAGACACGCAGTTTGAGGGCCATTTCACGAATGTGTTGCCTTGGGTTAGACTCGATAAGCGTCTTCAGAGTATCAATATCAATTCCAACATGTCGGCCCCTGCCATCACAGTTTTTAAGACTAAAGTCACCTGGACGAAATTTGCTGAACCATTGTTGACACTTACGAACGTTCAAAACATTTCCATAAACTTCTTTTACATTCTTTGTGGTTACAGGGGCGTTGTTTCCCTTCTTGTATTCAAACAGCATTAAATGCCGAATGTGTGTCTCGTCGTGTGCTATCACTATAAGGGATTATCGTATACTAAACTTTACACATTATACAGCCTACACTAACGTGACGTTTAGGTGGTTCGTTTAACTATTATACATAATGTACGTTTTCTAGGGGTTGGTCAATGAACGTGTTCCAAAACACGACATTAATTTCTTGACGACCTAATACTATACCAAGTTTTGACTTGACAGTTCAGACATGGACAAATACTGCTATACAAAGTTTTGACTTGACAGTCCAGACGTGGACAAATACTACTGTACAACGTTTTGACTTGACGGTCCAGACGTAGACAAATACTACTGTACCAAGTTTTAACTTGACAGTCCAGACATGGACAAATACTACTATAGACGTGAACAAATACTATCACACCAAGCCTTTAAGTTCGATCAAAGTTTGAAGTTTGAAATATTTTGTTAATTGTTGTTCATTTTTAAATTGCTTTGTAATTTACGAAATATCTCTGAAAAGAATACTCAAGGGAATTACAAATCAATAGCTTCGTGCTTAACTACAAACATTACAGATCAGTACCTTTGCGCTTAACTACAAACATTACAAATCAGTACCTTTGTTCTTAACTACAAACATTACAAATCAATAGCTTTGTGCTTAACTACAAACATTACAAATCAGTAGTGTTGTGTTTAGCTACAAACATTACAAATCAATATATTTGTGTTTAGCTACAAACATTACAAATCAATACCTTTGTGCTTAACTACAAACATAACAAATAAAAAGCTTTGTGCTTAACTATAAACATTACAAGTCAGTAGCTTTGAGCTTAACAACAAACGTTACAAATCAGTAGCTTTGAGCTTAACAACAAACGTTACAAATCAGTATATTTGAGCTTAACTACAAACGTTACAAATCAGTAGCTTTGTGTTTAACTATAGACATTACAAATCAGTAGCTTTGTGCTTAACTACAAACATTACAAATCAGTAGCTTTGTGCTTAACTACAAACATTACAGATCAGTACCTTTGTGTTGAACTACAATCGTTACAAATCAATAACTTTGTGCTTAACTACAAACGTTACAAATCAGTAGCTTTGACCTTAACTACAAACATTACAAATCAGTAGCTTTGTATTTAACTACAAACATTACAAATCAGTAGCTTTGAGCTTAACAACAAACGTTACAAATCAGTAGCTTTGTGCTTAACTACAAACGTTACAAATTAATACTTTATTGCTTAACTACAAACGTTAGAAATCAGTAGCTTTGTGCTTAACTACAAACGTTACAAATCAGTAGCTTTGTACTTAACTACAATCATTACAAATCAGTAACTTTGTGTTGAACTACAAACATAACAAATCAGTAACTTTGTGTTTAACTGCAAACAAAGTGGACCATAGGCTTTAGGATATAATATAATTTACAAAGTGGACCATGAACTGTATAATCAAGGAGGCGTTAGCACTGCCTATGTAGGGATGGCTCGGATTGTTCATCGTAATGGTATTTTAAATATCTCTTCAATAAGTCATCAGAACTTTACAATACTATACAGTGTTTCCTTTTATAACAATATTTATGTAATGACTGAGTCACAAGTTTTGAAAATGTCTAGAAATATCATAACAACAAGTTTGAATTTCTTGTTCTTCTTTCTTCTGCTTCTTTTTTATTACATGATAATTTAAAAACCAAAACAATGGCGTCAACCAGTTTCACTGAGGTGACATAGTTTCAAACGGAGTATCCGCTTTTATAAGTATTATTAATATCTAGTAGTAATTTTAAAAAATTATAGTGTAAACGATGTTATCATTACCCCTTTAAATAGCTTAAGTACATGGTGAAACAGGAATTGCCAGCCAATAATAGATAAACAATAAACATTACAGTTGGAACCTCATTGTATTTAGGACTTGGTTATAAGTACAACCTTCCTATGTCTATTGAAACACTGTATTAAAAAACACAAGTAAAGAAAAAACTTTTCAAAAAAGGAAGTAAATGCAGGGATGGCTAATATCAATCCTTCAAAAACAATGCACCCAGGATAGTAGAGATGACATTTGCACCATCCCAACTGAATAACACAGACACACAGTGTAGTAGAATGTTAACAGACAACAATGGGATAAATTAAAATCAATTGTGATGAATAGTTATAGATATTGTTATATGTTAATTCTTGCCTGTGGTATTATGTAGGGATGATGCAAGTGCCATCCCTACTATCTTCTTTGCATTGTTTTTGAAGGATTGATATTAACCATCCCTACATATACTTCCTTTTTTGAAAAGTTTTTCTTTATTTGTTATAATATAGATAGTGAGACTCAACCATTACCCCACACACTACTCAACCATTCCACACACACGATTCAACCACTACCACACTCACACTACTCAACCATTACCCCATACATGATTCAACCACTACCCCACACACTACTCCACTATTACCCCACATACGATTCAACCACTATCCAACACATGATTCAACCATTACTCCACACACTACTCATCCATTACCCCACACGCGATTCAACTACTACCCCACATACTACTCAACCATTATCCCACACACTACTCAACCATTACCCCACACATTACTCAACTACTACCCCACACACTACTCCACTATTACCCCACACACGATTCAACCACTACCCCACACACTATTCAACCACTACCCCACACACTATTCAACTACTACCCCATCCACAACTCAACCACTACCCCATCCAAGAAACGACCTTTGACATACATCAAACATTAGAATATAACTAATGACCATTAAACTTTAACAAGTGTTATCAATTACCTGTGAATTAACCTTTTACTGTTATCTTCTGACTTTATCTGGTATTAGCAGTGACCTGGACTATTACTAGCATCTTATATATCACCAACGACCTTTGACTTTCACTAGATATTAAAAAAAAACGTTATCTTTTACTGGACACTAAGTAGAATATTTTACCTTTTCGACATAAAAATAGACTTTTAATAGTGATAATCCAGATGAGATTAAAGTATTTTTACCCTATTTAACCCCTCTCTCGGATATCTCAGTTGTAAGCATGTAAGTTTCAAACACTACAGTTCGAGGTTCGATCCCCGCGGTAGCCACAGCAT